CACAAGTGTACTGCCAGAAAGAGAGAAAACAGAGAGAGTGCTAGAGAACACACACACACACACACACACACACACACACACACACACACTTTTACAAGGGGTAACAGGGTTACGTGACCAGAGTACAGATTGGACCGGGGATGAGGATTACTTGAACTTCAGCAGAGGAGAATTCATGACAAGCAGTTGCTGCAAGAATATGTCGAGATGGCGTAACTGAATTGGTATCCATGCATGTGCACAGTTCCTAATGACTGATATTTAATTTCTGATGATTTTGTCTCATGTTAGAAAAAGTTCCGATCAATAATAATATTAATGATAGAATAATAATAGACAAACACGAATGCACGTACAGTATGCAGCCAGGCAGTGATAGACAACGGTGTCTTGTGTGGGGATAAGCTATAAATATTGTGTTCAGGCTTTGCTTCAGTCTTAGCCCAGCGTAGCGGAGAATGGCTGCTGGTGTGCGTGTACAGAATACAGTGCTGTGATCCAGGCCGCTGACAAAACGTCTCCAAAAAAAAAAGCACTTCGTATCCCACCCCCAGTCCTTCTCTGCCCACCGTTCATTCACTATGATGCGCGTCTAGCTGAAGGAGGGTCTCCACACTCGGTCCCCTCTCTACAGACCTAAAACTTTCTCATGAAATCCTCCAGCACTTTTTGACAAATACTTTTTTTTCTCTAGGAATCAAGACGGTGTTTTGTTATATTAACCTTCGTTTTTAAAGAACACTTAAGGTATGTGAAATGTTTCATTGAAATACAGCTACAAGGGCCATTTCTTGTGTCTGATTCTTCAGATTGCTCGGCATTGTTGTAAAAAGTACAGACAAAGTATGCAGATGTAAAGATGTGTCTTTTTTAATGGAATGGTAGATGTGCTCAGTTTAACAAGTACCCTTTGTGTATGTGAAGAGCATGGAGTCCGGTTCCACAGAAGGAGTAGCTGAAGAGACGCTGGTTAAAAATCATCCACCAAGTCCTGTAAGTGCTGTCATTAAATATAAAGAATGACTTTTTTAATCGCTTAATGAAGCAGATGCAGCATTTGAGGCATTCTTTGTACACTGATTCTTTTTTTTTTTACTGCACAGCTATTAACTCAATGATCAAGTGGTTTAATAGCATTTTAAATATTTAAGCAGATTCACTTAAAGGCCAAGCTTTCACAAATGAAGTGATTCTGAATGCTGCTCAAGTGTCCTGTGGTTCCTTTGGGATCTGTGTGTCCTGGTCTGTGGATGCTGAGAGCCAGTGGGTAACATCTGGCTGTCAGAGTGACCCTTCAGCTCTGCTGTCTGCAGCTGCTGCTCCAAGCAGGAGGGTCTACTCACAGGAGGTCAGCTCTCCCAGCGAGTGCCAGAAAGGTCACCAGCAAGTTTATAATTTGCAGAAACAGAGGACAGGAACAGCAGTGTGATGCTCATGCAGAGCACTCTCTGGCAGTTTATGTTATCGGTCATACTCGGATCAGAAGGCATGCCATTTTTTCCTGCAGCGATTTGAAAAGAAAATAGGTTGACTGCAGAACTTAGCAGTTGATAATGTGTGGTGAGGACTTTTTCTCTTCTTCTTCTTCTTTCCACCAGCCTCACAAAGTGATACTCAAACATGGCCAAGAGTTGGAGGAAGAGCAGGAGGAGTTGGCCGAGCACCAGCCTCTAGAGCAGGAAGACCTGAACTTTGAGAGATGGAAGCGCAGGCCGTTACCCAAGAGGACGCTCCACCAGAAAATAGACGACTTGAAGAAATACCTGTGGAATGCAGAGACCAATGAATTCATGGGTCGCTCTGGAAAGAGCTGGAGTGAGTTGATGAACAAAAAGAGGTTCTGTGCTGATTGAGTATGGGGAGGGGTGTTTAGGTTATTGCAAAAGTACTTCATTTTTTCTGCATGTGTTCAGTAATTACAGACCCAATACTGTGCATTACAGCTCAATAATCTTAAGTAAGTTTAAGAGTAGATGTGGTGTTTGAATATCTTTAAAAGATGCACTCAGGGATAGTTTAAGGGGTGAGAAATGTCTTTCCAGTCCACTGACTCTACTCACTGTGCTGTGAGTGTGTGTGGGAGTGTATGTGTGTCCTCATGCTCAATGTTTACATAGGTGCATGGACAATCTAGAGTGTCCCGACAAAAACAGACTGCCTGGGGACATGTTCTCAGCAGGAGTGCGCTGTTCTGGGCCTCGCATTGGCCAGTAATCACATTCCTCTACATCTTACCATGCTCTCCACAGCCTCTTTCCCAAAGCCTAAGCGACCTCATTGCTGAACTTAATATGCGTATGGCCCCTCAGTTGCAGCGACACACTTAGAGATGCTCACGTCTGGTTTTTTCCACAGAGCACACTGCCAAATCGAGCTATGGTGCAGGCGGACTTTTTTGGCAGAGGCAACTGACTGGACGAGTTTGTTGAGTCAATGATGATGGAGCAGCCTCTTGGTATTCCTGGGAAGTTGCTCAGTGACACTATAGACCCCCCCCCTCCCTCAGCTTCACAGAACACAATAGCCAACATGATCCGACTAAGTGTAGAGAGGCTATCCAAGGAAAGTGTGTGTTACTTGCTGCAGCCGCTGGATCCCAGGCAGGGCTAAGAGCTCATTTCAACTACATAACCAGTGTGTGCACACTTGTGGAGGAGAGGGGCCCATGTGCCTGCTGAAGAAAGGCCCAGAGTTGAAATCTGTGTTGTGTGTCCTGTGAGATGAGTGTGTAACAGGGGACACAATACCAAAGTGGCGTGATTGGAGCTCCTTGGAGCTGGCCGGTCCTCTATGACTGCAAAAGACCTTCACTACGATGGCAACCGGAGGTTCACAGTGTTCCTGAGTGAAAGGACAGCTGGGAGAATTCTCACTGAGCTCAAACAGAAAGGCCTTTGTGGCTCAGAGGACGCAAGGCTGGCTGTAGCAAGTCCTCTGTGAAATTGCCCCCCACAGCAAAAGCCATTTATTTTAGGGCACGTTTAACTTGGTTAGTTGCTAATGGGCTGTTAATTGAAAATTTGGATTTCTTTGTTACTGGGTTCTCACATGAGCTCAGTACAGCACAAAATTATTTGAGTTATTTGCAGGTCCAGACATAAGAGTTCAGTGCTTTTGAATGAGTAGACAGAGTAGTCATTTTCCTGATCGAGGGCAGTGGCTGGAGTCCTGACAGATCACACAGTCTGAACAAAACTACATTTTTCATGGTTCATTATTTTTCACCAGTGAGAACAGTGATATACTTTTTGTTGCGTAGTGTGTTATTCAAGCCACTTTTACACAGATACTGCATCAGATATATTCTCCCTAATGACTCCTTTTTTCACCCCTCTTTCAGGCCTCATCCTGCTCTTCTATGCTGCACTTTATGTGTTTCTTGCAGCCATGTTTGGCGGCTGTATTTTTTGCCTCATGTGGTCTATTAGTCCCTACCATCCAACCTATAATGATAGAGTGATGCCACCAGGTAAATATACCCCCAACCACACACCGCTCCTGTTTCTCTCAGCTCAGCTGTCCTTCTCTCTGTTGCTTCTACGCGAGTCTCAGCACAGTTGACTGTCTCTGGGTCTCCGCTGGCAGGTATGACGATGGCTCCACACCTAGAAGGCCACGACATCGCCTTTAATGCTTCTGATCGCAAATCCTGGAAGAAGTATGCCAGGTCTATGGAGGAATATCTAAGACGTGAGTCAGTAGTGATAGTGGGAAATCCTATTAAAGTTGGAGGGTCTGATGAGATTGATGAATCTGTTTAAACTGAATCAGGCTTGCTATGAGTTAATCCTCATCTGCACTACCTTTGTCCCCTTTTTCCATTTAGTTCTTGCAGGGCATGCTGGGAAGGGAAGCCTCTTTGTAGGCAGAGTGCAACATTCAATGCTGTGGGGTTTTTTTTCACAGCCCCCCTTTTGTCAAGCTTCCTTAATCAGCGGACTGAGCCTGGCAGGGCATTGCTCTTTCAAAGGTTTATTTATGCCCTCCTCTCATTCTTCCTTCCTCCTTCACTGCTTTTTTCTCCCTGCTCTCTATTTTCAGCGTATAACGATGCCGTTCAGGAGAGGAAGAATATTCGCTGCTCACAAGACAGATACTTCATGCAGGACGACTTGGAGGAGAGTGCAGAGCGGAAAGCTTGTCAGTTTAAGAGGTCCTGGTTGGGGGACTGTTCAGGGCTACAGGACCCCCACTATGGCTATTCTCAAGGAAAGCCATGCGTCCTCTTTCGAATGAACCGGGTAAGACACCAAAACAAATAATTATGCATATTGGCACACAAAAAATCACAAAGGGGGAACATAAAACAGCAGGTACAAAGTGTGTTACTGTACTGTTAAAGCTCTCATTTTCTTCAGTGAGTGACATCTTGTGGCTATTTTGGGGATAGGATAAAGATGCACCAAGCCATTTCTGCACTGTTTGTATTTGTAAACATTTTGAATGGTAACTTTATGTAAAATTGCTGAAGAAGGTGGATCCAAGTTTAAATAGCACACGAAGGACAAAGAGAGACTGCTATGAAAGTTGAATTGGTGCAATATTTCATTCTTCAAAGTCTTTGTCAGGCAAACATCCATTATCGTTCGGTTTGAAGACATGACAAAATAAAGAACCAGAATAGCATTGAAAAGTACTTATTTTTTGTTTGTATGATGACACTTGTTTCTCTGTCCTTACTCTCCAATAGATTCTTGGTTACTTACCAGGCCAAGGAAAACCAATAAATGTGACTTGTGGAGTTAGGGTACAGTAACCATCAACACCTTTACTTATAATTTTATGTCAGTAATAAGCAACATGTCTGAAAATGTCTTAATTGTGTTACGCAAGTAAATGTGACTCAAACTATAATGCTTTCCTCTTTCAGAGGGGACCACCAGAAGCCTTGGGAGAAATCCAGTTTTTTCCTAAAAGTACTTTTGAGCTGAAATACTACCCTTACTATGGGAAGCTCAGACATGTGAGTACGAGTTTCACTGTGGATAACCTTTGTGCCATGTGCACAATTTTATGTCTAAATAAAGTCTGTCAGTTCTTAATCTTTTGTCTCTTCTGTCCAAGGTAAATTACTCTTCACCGGTGGTGGCTGTGCAGTTTCTAGGAGTGCAGTCCGACACTCACATCCAAGTACAGTGCAAACTGAATGGAAAGGGCATCATTAATGATTCACCCACTGACCGCTACCTGGGCAGTGTGACCTTCTCCTTAGAGGTCGGAGCCTAAGGCAGACATCACCGCCAGCAGGATGATCCCATGACAACGAGGCAGGAAAATGTACAAGAAAAAAATTTTGTTGAACCATTATTTTCCATTAAATATGTACTTTCTCTCTGTCCAAGTCTTTTGCTCTTAAAATTCCTCAAGAAGTAGATATTTTCTCTCTGTTTCTGCTGTATCTTTGTACCTTGAGCGTGCTACTGCCATCTGCACCCACAACAGTGCTGAGCACAGGACGAGTGTGTAGAGCGAGTTATAAATTGAATTCTTGATATTTTGTAATGATTAGCAAGATTAATCTAACTAAATTACACTCTTCCCAGTAGTTAGCATTTCTGGCTATGCAAATTCAGTTATGACAAAATATTAGCAGGATATTAGAAATACTGTTTTGTCAGATTGTGGTTCTGTGTGCACATTTTGCATGACAAAAAGTACTAATGTGTTCTGAATTATATTTTTCAAACATGTATATTGTAAGAAGTCAATGAAGTGCCATGCAAACACAGAGCAGAACTTGTACTGTACTTACACGGTAAAACAAAGACATAAATGACTGCAGTATATTTTTGTTGAATAGAGCAGAACTATACATTTAAGCATCACAAGCCACTTCTTGCCTACTTTTGTAAAAACATTTGCTTCTGAAAATGAAATACACCAGACTGATCAATAAAGTGACATACTGTACTGTGAAATAGTTTGTGAAAGGTCTGTACCATTTTTAAAAACGTAACCATATTGTGATTGAATTAATTCTGCTTGACCTGTACTACTAAACTTGGTATCATTGTTGTATTTATTCTTATTATAGTTCTCATAATAAATACAATGTTCTGTATATACTGTCTTCCATATGGGACTAACAACTTCGCATTACATATCAAAAATAGCTTTCACCACACTTAACCTGTAACAGTAAATTGCCAAAAAATTTTAAAAAAGAAACTTAGGTTCTGTAAATAGACTTAAACGGCCACTGTCACAATGTACAGTATTTTACTAGTTTTGAGAATTTCAAACTGATGACATTTCAGAAACCTGCTGCAGAAAATTTGCAGTAAAAACATTTGAATTTTATATCCACTACATTTATGATTGGTGTTGTCACTCTTAGACGGCATTACCCCTCCCAAGTTAAGTGTACTTGGATTTCTGTTTCCAGAGTTTTGAAAAATGTTCATCACAGTTCTAAAACACTCAATACATACTTTGTGCATGCACAGCCTACATAATTTATGACATTACGAGGAGAGGAAGTGGTTAATATTGCAATTTTTTTTTTTTTCAAGCAACAGAGGAGCTAACGGGTCATCTTCAAATTAGCCTCAGTACTAAGTCAAGTCTGCATTGACGGGTGTGACCTCTGGGTCAACTTGCCTAACTGCATAGCGGTAACAGCTGGAGTGAGAGTCATGCCTCTGTGCACCGTGACAGGTTGTAAAAGTATTTTGTTGATCAAAATCGAACGGACTGTTCCAGCCACAGCAGCAGTGTGAATGTTTACAATCAGCAACCTTTGAGATCAGCGCTGTAACAAGAATCACATGCTGCTGTTGTGCAGCTTTACAATAAAAGCAGAAGACAGTTAAAAGAACAACAGTGATACAAAACAAGACCAAAACTTTATTTAATTTATTCCCCATTTGTGTTAAGCAAGCTCATTGTGTCACATTCTTCATCAGATGGAGACAAGCTTCAGGCAAGCAATTCGGAGGTGCACAACAAAAAGGCACGAAACTGTTGGGGAGAACTGAAGATTATACAAATCAAAAAGGTGTGAAGTGTTACTCATGTTCTTTACACACGAACTGCTTATATTCATACAAAGGGTAGTGCAGAAACCTTTAACTGTTTAATCCCAATGCAGGTTTAAATTTAAACCAGATCTTAAACAGCGGAAATAAGCATGTTAAACTTTAAGTTACATCAGATTATTAGGGGACAACACTAGAAATCACCAAATACTCAACTCATTAGTGTACATTTCAAGAAGCTTTAAATCTCCCTAATAGGAGTGACAAAGATAAACCCAACATCAAATGTAACCAAAAACCGGGTCCCAATGCTGGTAAAGTGTCTTGATAAGTTAGTGTCCCTTTCATCAAGCTACAACTAAGTGACTGTGTGCAATGCTCATCTAGCTGCTAATTCATGTTATCATCCATGTTACATGAAGGTTAAAGATCTATTTAGACTGTAGTGTCTGGTATGTGGATGACAGTGGATCTACTGAATTGGCTTGCTCATACATTCACATCATCAAAAATCAGTGCCATTCATTCTATACAAGAGTAATTTACACATCTACTAGTATAATACAGCACAGAGGCCAGGAGGACTTTGGGGTGGACGGCTACTCTCAGCCATAAATTTAATTTTTAAAACATGCAATCTATAAACAAACGATGCAATAACGATCATAAATGTTTTGGTATTTGATTCAGTCATTGGCATCAAAGCAAAACAAAAGGAAACCATTGGGGTGGTTGCTGGCATAGATTTTAAACTGGGTACAAGAAATAAGCTGAAGGTTATTTTCAGGGAGACGCCACCTCACGGGTAAGGGAAAAAGAGCTGAAACTTTGGACGCTTCTGATGTGCTGATGGCAGGGAGGCAGTTAGGAGGGTGTTTTTAAAGAACAGTAAGGGTTGAAAAGGTTTGAGAGAAAGAAGCAGCTGTGTCGGATTATACGGACTGGTAGCCAGTGCGACTCTTCCTCCGGCCAATCAAGTAAGAAATAAGGACAAGGATGATTAGGAAGCCGAGCGCCACACCCACTGCAATGGGCACCAAAAAGCTCAAATCAGAGTCCAGGAAGCATTCCTCAGCTGACAGAAAGGGGAGACAGAGAGAGCAGATTAGTGATTAAATCAGCAAAAAAACACTAGTCCGGAGGACACCAAGGTTAGAGAAAGAGGAACAGCAGCAAGAAAGACAATCAGAACCTACAAAAAGTAGAATCAAGAATGTAAGTGTAGATTAAAAGGAAGGGTCATAAAATACGCCAAAGGCACAAAAAGATAAATCACTCAAGTAGATAGTTAATATGCTTAAAGAAATAATCATTTTGGGAATTACACCATATGCTTTTTTATGAGAAGACTGACATCACTGTTAAATCTGTCCTTTTAATATGACGCTACAGCCATTAGCTGGTTATCTTGACATAAAGACTGGAAACAGGCAATAGACAGACTAAACAAAACCCAGCTACTCCTAAAACTCTTTAATTAGAAAGCGTACTTCCGTTTTTAAAAGGAGCCAGTTTTTCCCCTTGGCCCAGAGGGACTTCCCGGTGTTGTCACAAAAGCCACACTTGGTACTGCAGGTCACATGAGGCACAATGGCACTAAGATTACTAGAACAGAACGTGGTAAAATCACTTGCAAAAGTTAGTAGTTCTAGCATCAGTGCTAATCCATTCAGTCAAATAAAATAAACTGGCTTTATTAACGAGCCTTACAGGTGCTGGTAGGTGGGTTTTGTTACCTCTGCACACAGCCAGGGTAGCTGTGTCTGTTTCCAGTTTCTGTGCAAAGCCAAGTTAACCGACCCAAGAGTGGCATCATTCTTCTCATGTCAGAAATAAAAATGAGCAAGCTTCCCAAACTCAGAAAGAAATAAAAATGAGCAAGCTTCCCAAAATGTCCCAACTATTCCTTTACAAATGCAGTTAAACAGCTCTAAACATGGCATGGAAACATCAATACAACACAGTTTTCACAATTAGTCAAAAGGCAGCAAGAAAAAACAGGGAGCAATTCACCAAGCATTGAGATTTAAAATGTGGCAAGTTTAACTAGAAAGACTCGTAGCCGGTGGCCATGTTTCTCTTTCTCCCGATGAAATAGGCCAGCAGAACGACAAGAATGAGAGCAAGCAGGCCAACTCCGACAGCTATGGGAACAATGTAGCTCTCTGCATCGGCCTGGCAATCCTCAGCTAGACAAGAGTGAAGAGAGCAGAGAAGTGAGTGTCTTATAGGTTGAACAGAAGACAGAGAGGAAAAAAGTTTTGATGAATGGATAATGCGAAAGCAGCAGGAAAAGTAGCAGCCTGCTAACCATGTTTTCAGTGTATGCACAACAGACTTTAGTAAATTCAATTCACTTTTACAAAGAAACATTTAATCAAGTATCCAGGACAGCAAAGCGTTTATTTCAATAAATTGTAAAATACTAAAAAGTCTAGCAGTTGACAATATTAAATCCACTTTATTATAACAGCAAGAAAACGGAAATGAAAGTCACTCATATCCACAAAACACACACTGACTTTTGACAAGACGGTTTTGCAACACAATTTCCCCTTGTTGAACGTGTGCGCGCTCACAATGTTCCCACCTACTGAAGAGGATTTACATCATAACCCAAATGATACCAAGTAATCAAGTGTCCTAACAGTATTAAGTCAATGTAGAAAACAGAATGGTAATGAGCAAAGCACATCAGTCATGTTGAGGACAGGGAACATTAGCAGTGAGATACATAAACAATGCTGTACTGCAAAACCATCTTTATAATTAAGGCAACCAAGTTTGTACAAAGCTGAGACACACCAGACAGCAACAATCACAAAACCCAGATTTGATTCAGAGCGATTATTCATATACAAGTTCAATGTCCTGGGAAAGCCAGTTTTATAAGCATCTAAAAAGTGAAGGATTCATATTCAGTGGAGTTCATTGTCTGCAAGTTAAAGTACACAGCACTCTGCTAGAATTAAGCAACAATACACAGCAACTTCCATGTGCCACCCTGGCTTTCTACCATTACAAAAACACACATGCTGGGGTTTACCTACATCTCTGACATTGCTTCACTGGAACTTGCACCAATTTCCCCGGACATAAAACTTACTTCAGCTTTGTACAGTTAAGTGACGAGACCTGCATTACAACAAGTTTCCACCAACAGTTCCCTGCACTAATCTGGATTTGCCAATATAAATGTTTGCTTACATTTCCAGGACAGAGTCAAATCTGAGAAAACTACACCCAGAGTCAGATTAGCTGAGTTTTTAAGCTTCCTATTTAACCGAGTCATGAAAGTTGTCTCAGATCTACTCACCAACACTCCCCATCTAAGTTCCTAAAATGTCGAACTCCTCATGAGTAAATACCTCTGATTCTTACAAGTTAGAGAATTGCTTAGGATTTGAAATCAAGTTTTCAGGGCCTTGAACATGCCCTGATCCAGCTACAGCCCTCAAGCCAATCCCAGACCTATATGCAGATGACAAATATGACAACTCGCAGCATAAAGCAAAATATAAAGATGGTCTTTGTGCATTTATATGTAAATATCTTTGTTCCAGACTTCTCTGTGCTCAAAGTCAATAGCTACACAATAGTTCTATCCCTTTTGTAAACATAATGCTAAAGTTAAACCTGTAAGAAAGCAACAGTTGTCCTTTATTAGATTTATTCTCCAACTGGAACATGTGCAAATGTAACAGATCTTTTAAACAGCAGACATTTTGACATGGTATCACAGGAAAAGCACAGGCATAATTAACAAGGGCTTCATCTAATTTTAATCAGTTCTAGGTCCTTTAAATTGAAATGCAAATGGGTCATTAGTTCCACCTGGGCTTTTACAGCTGACATATGTCGAAACGTCTCCTATAAATAAAGGGTCTAGTAGAATTTATACAACAAATCTGATTTGACATTCTTAATCTGTTTGGAGCAACAAAAATCAGGACAATAACTGCCACATTTCTCCTGCTCTACAGGGGCTAAAGCACATCTTCTGACAACTTTGCAAATGGAGCAGACTTTTCTTTTTAAAGAAGTTTCTAGGAACAAAGAAAGCTGGCTGACCATCTTTGCTGTTTAAAGGCTGGGAAAAAAAAAATCTGTCTTAATGTAAATAATTATGGGAATGAAAAGTCAAACCACAACATGAGTAAAAACCAAAATGTGCATAAAGATTAAATAATGACCAAAGCAAACAAAAGGTCTGCAGAGCAAATGCAAGATCCTGCCACAACAAGCTGAAAACTGTCACATCTTCTGCTAAAAGTGTAAAAAATTTGTGAAATGATTTTGTAAATGTGCAAGTGCACAACAAAAAGAGACAAGACATCCAGAAAACAAACATACATTATGGGTAGTCAAGTTTGGTCCTTGAGGGAAAAAAAAAAAAAATTGCTCAAATGGATTGGTACGCATCTTACTGTATAACCTCTTTAAAAGAACTACAATTCAGAAATATGCAATTCCTGTCTCATAATGACCAATGACATCAATACCAAAAGACAGTAACACCTACTTTGACAGTTATCCTACAAGCTTTATTTTAACGCTCGAATATTTAAGTTATTTGCCAATTGATCACCTTGCATGAAACCCAAGGACCAGGCTTGGGAGCCCAGTGATATTTCTGGTCTGAATTAGAGTGTTTGATATCCAGCATATGTCTTTCTTCGACCAATCACGTAAGCGATCACTACAATCAAAATCAAGCCAGCCAGTGCAGCGCCAACAACGATTGGGATTAAGATGCTGGTGTCATCCATTGAACATTCATGGGCTGCAGATAAAGAGAAAGTCAGTCAGCAGGTGGGAGACATCCTGAGATGCAATATATATAAAAAAAAAAAAAAAAAAAAAAAAAACACACACACAACCCACTGTCTGTCCAACTGTGCCAAAATACAACAATTGTCTGTACTGTTACACATCACCATGCCCGTTTGTACATCTTTGGCATAACAAAATGACAGTAGATGGCATGTCAGACAAATGAACAGGTTCTGTAGGAGGAACTTAAACATGTCCGAAGTGACCAGGAAGAGGAATGATAACTAGAATTCCTCTTCAAAAAGTGGAGCCCGAGATGGACTTGATTAGAAATAGTATCGTCTCTTTCAAGGATTTAACGCAGTGGGTCCTAAACCCCTTCAAAGATTTGAGGGGGTCACAAAATTGTCTTCCAATTTCTGGTGAAAGACTGGTTGCTTAAATCTCTTCAGACCACAAAAATCCTTCACAACTTATGATGAGAAGTCATGAGAAGATGGCACTCCATTATAAGGAGCAGTAACCCATAAAGTCAGTTTTCTCTTGGTTGACAGGTTAATAGAAAACTGCATTAGTTGTAACTACATCTGGATGGCAGCAAGCTGCAATACATTTTCTGGCTCCAAATATACAATATCAGTGATACCGGCCACTTTTAAATTGTCTTGCAGTGCAAAGATAAGGGGTTACTTGGATTTGATAATGATCATTTACTGAATCAGGTGTTTTACATCAGGGCCTGGTGATGGAATTATGTGTCAGACAAACAGGAACAGGTGTCACCTGGTTTTTATTTTGAGATTTAAAATGTACTCTTCCTCAAACCTTCCCTTAGTACGTTTCTTAAAACCGTCCAAGGTGTGGCCGCACAGTACACCTTGTACTTAAAAACAGTGCAGTGTTTTAGTAGAGTTCAAATTCTATTAATCATTTGACAATGTAAATTTACCTTAAAACATGCTTAAAGCATTTATACATTTAATTTCCTGACTAGTTAAGCCAAGATGTGGCTGTCTTGTGGGGATTGTCAAATGGAATTTTTTTTTTTTTTTTAACCATAAATGTACCAAAATTCTCAACAGATACTCCATCCTAGCAGTGGCACAGACTAACCATACAATCCATGTGATATGACAAAACCCATCTTCCTCATTTTGTTCTATACAACAAACCCAGTTTTATCAGGACCCAGTGAGTAGGGATGTGTTGGTTTAAAGAGAAAGCGTAACATACCTGTACTGAAAGCACTGTTCTTGACTCCAAAGGGCTGCACTTGTAGGTTGAAGGTGTAAAGGCTGAGCAAGTCAGTGATGGTGTAGTTCTGCTCCTTGTTACACATGTACGAGCTGCCGAGAGATGCCTCCCAAAGACTCAGATTGGTGTTTCCCTCAGAAAAACCTTTAAATAAAACCACACAGACAAAAAGCCTGTATTAGCTTGCTTCTCAATGCAGTGCCTGAGGTTATGTAGCTAGGTGTGATTCTTCTAGTTACCAGAGTTTGTAGTGAAGTTGAGTGCATGTAGGTGGAATTTCTGAGAGTCCTGTTAAGAGAAAAGGAGAAGTTAGTTAACAGAAAATATGAATCCAAACAAGTTATTTTAAACAAAATTGAAAAACTTCAAACATGCTTTCATAGGGCCATAATGGGCTACAGAGTGCACGATGATGGGCAAAATGGCAATTTTATACACTTAGTTACACAAAGAGGGCAGCACGGTGGCGCAGTGGTTAGCACCGTTGCCTCACAGCGAGAAGGTTCTGGGTTCGGGCCCCACCGGGACCTTTCTGTGTGTTCTCCCCGTGCTTGCGTGGGTTCTCTCCGGGTACTCCGGCTTCCTCCCACAGTCCAAAGACATGCAGCTTAGGTTGAGTGGTGTCTCTAAATTGCCCATAGGAGTGCGTGTGTGTGGTTGTTCGTCTCTATGTTAGCGACCCGTCCAGGGTGTACCCCCCCCCCCGTGACCCCGTTCAGGGACTAAGCGGTAGAAAATGAATGAATGAATGGTTACACAAAGAGTGCAGAAAAAAGAAGGGGTCAAACCATTCAGGGGGTACTAAAATTAATGGATATGTGATTTAAATGTTCAGCTACTGTTGTTCTGAGTTGTGTTAATATGAATGCAATCTTCAATGTATTAAAGAACAGTGTGTGTACACATCTAGAGAGAGCGAGCAATGAGATTCAACCAGGAGCTCATGAGGATTCACATGAGCAATGGATAAAAACCAGTGTGTTTATCCTCCCCCAGTGAATTACAACCATGAACAATGGATAAAAACCAGTGTGTTTATCCTCCCCCAGTGAAATACTACTGAAACTTTCCACAAAATCATCCCATGTATGAAGTGAATGGGTACTCTATTCAGTCTGATAGGGCAGTACAGGTAAAGACTAAAGTAGTTTGGGAACCACTGATCTAATGAACACAGCATTAGATCCCCCCCCCAAATCTTATCAAAACGTGGGACATAACCCCATGTGTCGATCAAATGGATAAAAATGACATTGTTGGGGACTTACACTGGTGAAGACGAATTCGATTCTCGTTGTATTTGATGTCAGCACCAGCTTGCTGCTGTTGACTCCACATGATCCAGACGCGTTGATTTCACTGGGATCAAGGTTCATCTCCTGATATTTCTATGACAGAGAAAAATCAAATCAGTGTGGACTGAAGCATCATCTGGGAAACACGGCCGTAACAGGATTACAGCGTTTATGAATGTACCTTCCCTTGTTTGAAACCGAGCCGCAGGGCAAAGCTGGCCAACAGGCAGGCTGTACTGTTCTTGGACCCGACTTGGTACTTCCCAGTGGTGGGTGTGGGGAGGGTGGGGGTTGGGGTTGTGGTGGGAGTTGCAGTGGTAGTGCTGGTAAAATGAGTGGTAGGAGAAGAAGTGGTTGTGGGTTGATCAGCCCTACAAGATGTTACTGTGAAAAGAGAAAATTGAGCTTCAATAGAAATCAGAAACATTACAACCAGGATATGTCTCACTGCATCTGCACTTACTGTTTTCGGACTTGCTGCCGTTACTGACAAAAGCCTGCATGAGCACATTCCACAGTGTCATATTGACCGATTCAGCTTGGATCATGTCGTTATTCCTGCATGAATAGCAGGTGTCCAAAACTACATTTGTAATCTGGGGATTCACGGTCACAGATACAGTTTCTGAAAGAAATTCAAAGACGTATCAGCATCAGCACAGTACCTGTTGTCCATGTGTATGCATGTTTGTTTCATCTAGGAGGTACATAATTTACCATTTGACAGAGAACGAGGAAAGTAAGCCGAATCACTGAGATTGTAAAAAAAGGTGATGGAGTCTGCCTGGTAGATTGTTCCATTCATGCTGAAGTTCACACTCCAGGAGTTCCCCTCTCCAAAATTAAGCTTCAGTGTTGAGTTTTTGGCATTACACTGACTTCCAGCTGTTGTGGCTTTTTCAGGAAGTCCAAACTTGGTAGTTATGTTCTGAAAGAGAGCAGTGTGTACCCTTATATAAAAAAATCATGTTTAATATATAAATATATGGTTGACAAACAGTTAAAAGTAGACGACCTAAAAACAAAAAACCTTTAGTTATCAGATCATGTAAAAGAAAATCTACCCTCATCCATGGCTAAAAATAAATAAATAAATAAATTCAGGCACTCCATTATATGGTTTATAATAAAATGCCTTTAAAGAATATGGCCTAACACAGTCATTAAAGGCATTTTATTATCCACCATCCAATTGAGTGCCTGAAATGAATCTTTTTCTGCCACATCTTACCCATGGATGAGGGCCATGGTTTGATATTTTTATTCCTTCATTTAACAGCACCAGAGGTGGTGAGGGATTACCTTTCCTTTCAATAATAAAATTTAAAAAAAAGTTTAGAGTTTTAGCTCATGGGACAAATGTACTGATGTTTTCAATTTATGTAAAAACAGCTGCCACATGGCAATCAAATTGTACTGTGTGTTTTCATTGTTCATTTGATGTGCTTAACAAAAAAAAAAGGTACTAATTAATCCTAACAGAAAGTTTAACTCATAAGAAAATGTGTAAATCTATTGTTTCTTGCCCTGTCAAACAGTTTCCCCATCAACTAAAACATGAGCCTTTTAAACAAACGAATACTGACAGTTCCATTAGACAACTAATATGACACTTCCAGTAAATGTAGAAAAATATAAATATATACATGCCAAACAGTCAGCCATGGCAGAACATCTTGCTGTTAGTTTGGCCAAGACCAGACACTTACCATGTTGCTAGGTACCTCATATGAGACTGAGAAGTTGACCGTTAGATTGGCATAGAGGCACAACTTGCCGTCTTTATCTTTGATGTTCACCTCAATGCCATGCGACACCTGGAACGCTGAAAAGAACAAGAAAATTACTCTGTTTTTTAAATCAATAATATAAATATCTAGGGATGCACCAATACCGCTTTTTCAGTCCAAGTACTTTTCGATACAGAGTACTTAATGATGCAATGCTTCTACTATTAAAAAAAAAAAAAAAACACACCACACACAAATATCCAGTCACCATAAACCAGCACTGCCATCATTCCTACTGAATAACATGCAACTGACTTTGTAGGAGTATGACCCTTGGTTATGGTGTAATGAGTTCACAACCCCCTGACCAGAATGTCACAGTTTAGGAGTGCATATTATCACAGTCGACAATTTAAATTTGCACAAGAATCACATGAACCCAAGTTGACTGGACAACACTACTGTAGCAGTCAAAAATGACAAACACTTCAAACTCTGTTTTCAGTGATACTTGATGCAAGTAACCTTTCAATAAACTTAACTTTTCCTGGCTCTGAGAAATTGTATACAAGTTAAGAGAGACCAAGGTCCATTCAAATAATTATATGGTTTTGACAGTATGCATTGTCATCAACTCAGTAACACCTGCCCCAAGGGTAACAAACTTATAAAGCACATGACAAGCATGCAACCTAACAGATGTTAGTGAGCTAGCTATAAAAACAACAACCAAAACTGCATTTTTACTGAAAGGCCAGGTTTGAGAGTGAACATGGGTCAACCTAGACCTCACAATGTCTGGTCAACATTTAGGATAAATCTTTGTATATAGGTGATCATCAAGTTCTAGTGCACACTTTTTTTAATTCACCCCACCTAAAAGAAAGATTTTTATTTTTTTTACAAATTTATTTCTATTGACACTTCTAGGTAAAAAGAAGGGAGTAAACATATTACTTATAATACTTGGCTGCAACACTTCTTGACAACTTTTTTGCAAGCAGGCGAGAGTATGTTAAAGAGATTCATCCGGAGCCAGAACTTAAGTCTGAGATTTTGTCCAGGTACTCATTAGTTCCGTAACAATGTTTCAGTAATATATAAAAAAGATAAAGTCCAGAAAATATGACAAATCACATTGCCTCCTGATTAACGCTGGATGTCGTCTTTAATCTTATGAGCACTAAATACCAAGGCGGCAAAATTTTTGGCGACGCCTATCAGATTGAAGTGTGTGTGATAATGCATGATAAAATATCTGCAGTGGCAACGTAGAGCAGGTGAACTTTCGAGAAAAGCCGTGTAATAAGCAAACTAGCCTTTTTGACAAAGCTAGTAGCTAAACTTATTCACAAAACCGTTAAGTAGCTACGGGTAAACTTAAATAACTAGCAAAGAAATTTTTCAAATTGACACCTTATTGAAAATGTAAATTCAGAATAAAAAAAAATAATTCTACATTGATGGATAATGCCCATTGCTTTTAAGTCAGACATCTATGCATCTTTTAATGTATTTTAAGTCCGTTAGGTTAGCTAGTTTGATAAATCACACGTTGGCTGCACTGTCACGTGCCTAATTACTGGAAACCTCCAGTCGTCGTTGCTAATGCTAACTATTTTAGCCAGTTGTCAAAATGTTGATGCGTTAATGTTGTGCGCAATGCTTTATGCACAATTTTTCCAGCAACATTCATTCTTCCTAAATCATGGGGCTGTGAGGCTAAAGTTATATAGCACCAGACATGACTCAGACGGTCTTTGGTTTTCATCATGTGTTCAAACATATGCTTTCAAAAAGTGTTATTTTACCATTAAGAGCAATACAATATTGAAGCTAGGATGACAGTCAACTTAGCTACTTTTAGGGCACAGTTGTTGTGTGTGGGCACGAAAATATAAACCAACTACTAATTATGTGGACAACTGCATTTTTAACTACATTCGACCGTCTGGCTGTTTCAGTGTTATGTTGTTGACTTAAGTAACAATTAGCAATCAAGCTAACGCTAAGCTACATTAGCAAAACACCACGACTGGACTGCTCTGCGAAAGAACACCTGATGATGGTTTCGCCTTTACGGCCTGTGCACTAAATTCACCCCAAACGAACATATTTAGGTCTATGACATTAAAGACCAACGGAAACTAAGACGTATTATTTTCCGCAGAAGCGCCAGGCCCTATCACAACTTTAATCACCTCACTTCGCAGAAACAGATTGCAATTTTTTTAATCACTTTTTGCAAGTATCTCAAGAACTATTTGTACAATACATACCTATTCCAAAGAAAAGGGATAAAATAAATGGAGCATATCGGGACATGATCGCTTGGTAGTCTGGAGTGTCAAGAACCAGGGGAAAAGACGAAAAACCACGACAGGGACGATCAGTCGTTTGGGATATAGCCGAGCTGCCGCCGACTCTACCAGGAAATGGAAGTCATATGACCAGGGAGCGACGTCTCGATCCAGGCAGAGGCGTGGACTCTCTTAAATTTCATCCCCCATTTAGAGTTAATTATTCCACTCTATTTTATAAGATGGCAAGAATGTGAATATTTACTGGTTTCAAACTAAGAAATGCTTACTAATAGTCTGCTTCCATACGAGACAGTTAAACTGTTTAGAAACCAGTGATTAATAAAAGAAAACCAAATTGAAACAATTGTTTAATCTGAAGCAATAAATCTAACAATCATACAAACAAGGGTCTAATCAATCTTATTGTCCTCAGGCGCTGAGGCACTGCACTCCCATTCCCACCCACTTTTCAGCAAGGCTTGCAAGCCCCAATGGAAACATACAAAAAATATAGTGTATGTACTGTGATATGGCCCCACAGAAGATAGAGAAGAGAAGAATGGGCTTTTGTGCTTTTAGTATACTTTGTAAGGGTTAACAAAAACCTAAAAGGCAGATAAAATGTCACTTTTGCTAAGTATGTACAAAAACATACAAAGAAAGAACAAATGACAAACTGAGACAACTGAACTGCTTTAGAAGCTTGAAAACTATTAACAAAAGAAGTTCTCTATTTGGCACAAACTGATTTGAATGCTTTGTGTGCTCATAATCACAGTTTTATCAGATGGCTACATGGCCTTAAAATTTGTACAACTTCACTGCAGGATCACACATCTGACATCCATTCCCCCAAAACTGTTGGTTGCCTAATCTGAATGTTAATCCAATAGTCCCACATTTGACACTGACCGAAGACACAAGTATCAGTTTAATCTTTTTATCCTTTTTTCTCTCCAAGGTGTGGTACATTTAGATAATTGTTAGGCGTGTCATCATTTGCTTGGGATACTGAGTGAACAAATAGGAAAAAGTGATTTGATAACAAAAAGAATATTGATTCAAACTATGGACAAAGAAGAATCTAAGTTTGAAAATAAATATTTTTCCTCTCCATTCATAAAAAGGAGCAAAATGGAACAACATCTGTGTCTTCTTTGTCTGTCCACGTGAGCTGAACTCTCTCAGAGGCACCGAGAAATATGGACAATATTCTCTTTTTAATGGGCATGCAGTCCACAGGATCACAAGACCCCTGACAACAATCCTGTGGAGCAGTATCCATTCACTTGTCGGCCACTGGGTTGAAGATGATAATGATTAACATCCGTTGGAGCAAAAGATTTAGAGACCGATCACTGGACCAAAAGCATGTCTTTCTCTGTCCCTGTCCCTGTCCACCCCCACCCTAAGCCACATAGTTGTACTGGTTGGAGTTCTCCTTGTCACGCTCCATATAGTCCCTGTCAATGAGAGACTCTATCCTCTTCTTCAAGTCAGCAGGCTGAAAGGAGAGGAGGCAGAAGTGAACATGTGAGGCACATGCCAAACATTTCTTATTATTTTTATACCCTGAGGTATGAGGTAATCACAATGAAACACTGATTCTTGTTAGGCAGCTATATTCAAGTCTCTCTTATACAAGCCAAGTTTAGATGTTAGTCTCGTGAAAATGTCTTAAAGTCCATTTTAATCAAACTTTCCAACTGTACTGACAGACAGTGGGGGCATTAGCTTGTTAGCAGGGAAGGTACTTTTGTAAAATACCACCCAAAAGAGCTTGTGCACTTGTAAATGGAAAAGAACATGAAGAAAATTATATTTAATAGTTAAAAAGCACTCATAAATGTATGTTATAAACAATTGCTAATGAAAAATACTGGAAAAAAAAGCAAAGAATACCCATCCTGTATTATAAAAGATCTCCTCATTAGAGCTAGACTACTAAATCTCCTGAGCTAATATATACACTGTACAATCTAGTATTAGCTTACTGAAGATATACTGACATTGATGCGTTTGTTGGCTGAACAAGAAATGGTTAATTTCAAACATTTGCCTAAGTGCATTTTCAAACTGTGTCCCCCACAAAGCAGAGTTCATTTTTACCATAAAATGATGCAACAAGTACACACTTTGGTTACAAATATATATGTGTACACACACACACACACACACACACATGTATTAATGTTGAACTCTCAAATATACATGTCAGCTTCTGAAACGCAGAACAGTCAGGCCTTGATCCACAGATGCTTCTTTTGTAATTTGCACCACATGAAAGTTAATCTGGCCCATGGTGCATATTCAAAACAAACTGAAACAGCTGGTTTTAAATCAACAACAGAAAAATTACCCCCACAGGATCAAGCATATACAGAAGATGATGGCAACAATAACAAATTAGAGGGGGAAACTGCAATAAGGGATTTAAAATACTGGACTTATTTCCCTAAGGATCCATGCAACATTTCTGATAAATAAAGCTCAAAGTTTTAGGGTCATGGCAAATCCTGGTACTCTTGGCATTTAGGAGGCAGACTATGCAACCTAACATGTCTGGTTTGAGTTCAGCTGAGGCCCTTACTGCATGTCATCCCTCCTCTCTTCCCTTATTTGCTGTCACTTCTCTACTGTTAAGATGCAATAAAAATACAAAGACACCACAAGGGAAAAACAAGATTCAGGGTTGTGCTTATCACCTTGACAGGGAACTTGAGCTGGTTGTACACCTCAGACATCAAGAGATTATGGCTCAAAGTCTTCCTCATCTTCATGATCCGCACAATGGCAGCATCAATCTGATACTGTCGATCCTGAAAGACCCTTTCTGTTGTACTGGCTTGTTCCTCCACCTGAGGTAAAAGACACGAGTTAAAATCATTTCAGAATACTTTAAAGTAATTTGAAATTAAAGAAACTCTAAGACAACCGTTGTACCGTTTCTTTCATCTGGATCTGGTTTATTTTGATCCTGAAGAGCTTGTGTTTGAAGTCATCATTGCAGGAAAACTTGTCTCCATCCTCCACATCTTTGCTTTTTGGGATTTTGGTGAGGACACGTGCTTTTCCACACGCAAGTGACTGCAGCGTCCTGCGTAGTTCACTGTCCTCTGTAAACCAACAGACATACAAAGAGTGTTTTAAACCAGTGGTGTTAAATAAGTAAGACTTGAGACCCCTTATTTTTTTTCACCAAAAATCAAAGTGCCACTAACCAAACTCTCATGTGATGATACAGACCTATTCCTGTTGCCAGTTTGATCTCCTCCAAGGTGAACTCCTCTCCTTCATTAAACATCAATAGCACCAGTGTTTGGAAAAGTGACACCTGCAGCTCCTTCTTGCCCTGTTGTGAGAAAAGGATAGCAATTAACATTTATCTTTATTCAGTAAGTGAGCCAAACACAACGGAGCATTCTTAGAAATTAATTATCAACCTCTTTAAATTCAGCTTTTAAAACACAGTGGCCTAGTGTTGATTGCCACTGCAGCTTCCTGCCACTGTGTTTGCCCAGGTAGAAGGTCTTGAAGATCTCTTGCAGTCGCACCATCTGGAACAAGATAACACAGGCATTAAAAAGTGTATTTATAGCATGGCAGATTATATAAATAGCTAATTTCAGTGTTTGCTCGGCACTAACCTCGGGAGGCAGGTGCACTTCCATTGGGACATAGGTTGGCCAGTATCCCATAGTAAGGATGTTCACAGTCAGCTCAATGTTGCCAGGAATGTTTTGGCACTGCATATACTACGGGAACACAAATGAGACATGCCATATCCAGAACGCCCATCTGAGTAAATCATGTATATGAAGGTTTATCAGATGTTAAAACACAGTGCATGTTCAATGCTTATGTGGTGGGTTTTAGTGTCTGTTTTTGCACATTTTCTTCCCATGTTTTATGTATTTTAACTTGTTTTGCATGTGTTATATTTAAGTCTGTGTATGTTACATCTGGCTGAAAGACAAATATCCCCTCTGGGAGAAAAAGTTAAGGTAACAATTAAGGGAAAAGTCAACTTTTTTTAGACAACCCTGTATTTATTTATTTGCTCATGCCTCCACCACATGCCTCAGTTAGATGCATGAAGGGGTTGTGTTTTTTCATGCAGCACTGTTATCTGTTGGGCCTTTGCATAATCTCACTATCACAAGAATAAAGTATAAAGTTTTGACTGGACAGTCTTACAGATTAAACCACTATTGCTCTTCTCACCTGTTTGAACTGCACCATAATGTCTTTAGAAAGCTCCATATCCTTGAACATCCCCTCTAATTTGCTGGTGAAAGCTGCTCCACATTCTGAGGACACACCAAAAGGTCAATGTGCAATCAGTGTCGAGATTCCCATTCTGTTATTTATTCTGCATCGAGTGTTTGCACGTGTTAAGAAGTTAAACTTACCGTGCTTCAGCTTTGACAGCATTGATTTCTCAGCATCCACAGAGGCGCTTTTTCCAACCAGCAACCTCTTGGCCAGATCCTTCTTGTAAAAGGCCTCAAAAACATCTTTTCCTATTATGATGATAAATAATTACATTAAGGAACAACCACAGACAAAAAAGATCCTGAACTGATGCAGATTTGAAAGTACATTTTACCATAGATGAATCTAAAGATGATCATGATCTTATCCAGCATCTTCTCCAGTTCTTCATCTGTTGCCTCTTTGTTTCCTGCCCTTAGCTTTGAATCCACGTGTTTTGCTGCAAACAAATGTATATTTATAGTTTATTATTTTAGGAAAATTATGAATATGTGTTCATTTACTGACATTGTGGCCATTAGAAAAGGAAAACATGTTGAGCTACTGACCTATGAGCTCTGCGGGCTTATTTGGCCGTTTGTTGATGAATGTTTCAAAAGCCTCCTTCATGGCATTGACAAACTTCTCGTTCTTCATGAAGCAGACATCAATGATGTGATCCACCTTGTCTTTGAAGTCCAGCAACTCTTGCACCATTGTTTTGTCTTTTTCTGGATTGATTACGATTGTGCTTCCAAAAGCCTAGATGTTGATTTTCGAGACATTGAAGAAAGGTTACTAACCAATGTGTAAAACAATACCTGAGAGCTCCACGCCTTCATCCTGCACTACCTTCAGACTTTCATCACTGGTAATGTACCTTGATGTACTCTATCCAGTGCTGCAGGAGGACCTGAACGCCACCTCGTACTCGACTGAAGAGCTGATAG